AAATTGGAGAGGAGGTTGATGGCCCACGTGGCTTTCAATGTGAATTGCAAATTTTGCAATTGAGATCCTACATGGCAGCAAGATACCTGACAAAAGTCAATTTGTAATTCAAATTGCAAGCCCCATGTGGGTGCTCTTACAACACTTGGAAAGAAATCCCAAGACTGCGTTGTTTCTAATTACCCATTTGAAAGAATGTGGTTTTATGCATGATGTTGTAACGTATATGACTATTATAAGGTTTTTGTGTTGCCGGGGTATGATGAGGAAGTTAAAGTTTTTGTTTTTGGAGGTTATTGAGAATAAAAATGGGGTATTTGGTTTTGAAGCTTTTGATTTGTTCGAAGAATTATTGAAAGAGATCAATGTGGATGGCAATAATTTGCTTGTTAGAGCAGTTGATGCTCTGGTTAAGGCTTTCTTTAGTGTTCATCAGTTTGATGAGGCTTATGATGTGTTATTGAAGATACAGGGTGGATTTCTTCTGTCTGTGCTTACTTGTAATCTTTTTCTGAACCGGTTGGTTGAAGAAGGCAAAGTTGACATGGCCATGATGGTTTATCAACATTTGAAGATGAAAGGTTTCCTTCCAAATGTGTACACATATGGGATTGTGGTTAAAGGACTATGTAGGACAGGTTGTGTGAAAGAAGCTGGGGATGTTTTAGAATCAATGAAGGAAGCTGGAGCRGAGCCTAATATGTTCACTTTTGGTTCCTATATTGATGGGCTKTGCTCAAATGGCTACACAGACTCGGCTTTTGAGTTGCTTAAAATGTTGAAAGAGCCGGGCTCACTCATTGATGTTTTTGCTTATGCTTCTGTCATTCGTGGCTTTGTAAAAGAGTTGAAGTTACAGGATGCAGAAAACGACTTTTTTAACATGAAACAAGCAGCAATTGTCCCAGACGCATAATGTTACGGTGCCTTAGTCCAAGGGTACTGTCAAAGAGGCGACATTCTTAAGGCCTTGGATCTTCATGATGAAATGTGTTCAAAGGGTATCAACACCAATTGTGTGATTATGAGCTCAATTATGCAATGCTTGTGTCATATGGGGATGTCMTCTGAAGCTGTATACCAATTCACTAATGCAATAGAATCTGGAGTTTTTCTTGATGAAATCTCCTTCAGTATTGCAATTGATGCTCTATGTAAACTAGGGAAGATGGCTGAAGCGATGATGTTGCTGGAAGAGATGAAACGTAGGAATATGAACCCAGATGTTAAGCTCTACACCACTTTGATTAATGGATATTGTCTCCAAAAAGACCTTCAAAGTGCTTTGAATATCTTCAATGAGATGAATGAGAAGGGCGTGAAACCTGATACCGTCACACGACCCGAATGGGGATCCGAACGAGGATTCCCCGCTAAAACGGGTCCTGAGGTAGGGGCCAGGGATACCCGGTGGACTCAAACCGGGGTTGGGGCTGGGGCCGGGTATTGTAACCCCGCGCCTCCCCGGAAGCAGTATACTAATATTCAATTATTCATTTATACTATTTGAGCTTTCAGCTTTGGAAATTCTGGGCCTTGTTGCTGTTGGACTTCAGGCCTTCACCCCTCTGCCAATCGAGGTCACTCAGGTCAGATCTCACATTCTCAGTCTTACTCACTTCACTCGTCGAGTCGTCGGCCCTTTGCGACTTGCCCTCGGTCCTCCCCTTCCCCTCCGCCTCGATCGTTGCCACTGCCGGCTGCGGGCTGCCCACTCGTGACTCGCCACTGTCAATTCCTTTTTTTTTTGTTTGCTCAATGGAAGCTTCGAAACATAAAAAAGAGAGCTAAAAGATTGATAACTTCATTTGCAGCAAATCTTGAATTCTTAATCTTCATCAAGTCAGTCTCGACCAAGGTGATGCTTCCATTCTTGTAAAAGAAAATTTATAGATTCCCATCAAGGTACAAACATGTGTTTGCTGTATGTTTAAGCTCGATTTCTGCCCGGAAAGACGTTTTTACGCGGGGTTCTTTGTTTCGTTTAGGTTGGGATAGGATAAAGCCTTAATTATTCCAAACACTAGAGTACATTGAGTTTTTAGACTTTTCTCTTTTTTAAACCCAGAAAACTAGTGCGGTATTTCTCACTTAAGACAAGTTTGTAGTAAAATTTCTCATGAAACTGAAAATTTCTCCCGTAATCCAAATTATGTATGCATATAACCCTAACTAATAAAAAAGAACCAAGGAACACATCTAAATTGTTGATTGAGATGACCCAACGAACATGGCCGGTCCTATGATTTTTGATGCCCTGTGCGAAAATTATAAAAAATGCCCCTAAGCCTATATTTTTAAGTCAATGAAACAACGAAACATGCGATTTTTTAAAAAGTTTAGAACCTATTCAAGCTAAGTATCTCATTCCAATGTTGATTTTTATTAATTATAATTAAAAAAAAACGATGAAGGGGACATAAAAACCAAAACCCTAAATACAAGATATAAAATGATAAATCTTGGATTAAGATCGTGCTTTCTTCTTTTCCAGTTTTTCCTTTTTCAAATTAAAATTAGCAAAATAGAAACTTTATTTCAATGTATGGAACTTATCTTAACTATAATTAGTTTTTAACTAAAATAGTAAATTACATCCAAAGTTTTGTCATTAAGCAAAAAGTAAAACTTAAAAGTTACATATCTAACGACTAATAAGTTTAATGGAACTAACAATTTATTCACTCAACTATGCATGACTGTTTCGTAGTGGCTTAATAATATAGAAAGTGACTTATCCAGTAAGCTTTTAGGGGGAGCTTTATATAGAAAGCCAATTTTTTTCTTCTAAACATGTCCCTTTCAACTAAAAAACGCTCTTTACATTTGCGAAAAACTCTCTCAAACAAAAACTTTTCCAACTTATACAAACCGATTAATTCATACAGACAACTTTATACAAACAAAATTTTTTCCGACTTTCCAACTCCAACGATGTGCATTCAGTATTCATCACTGTTTTTATAGTTAAAGTTCAGTTGTCCAATTCTCAAATTATTAAACTCAAAACTAGTAATAAACGACAATTTGATGCCCCTTTAGGCTTTGATGCCCTGTACGACCGCACGGACTGCACGTGGCCAGGGCCGGCCCTGCCAACGAATATGGTTAAATAGGTGGTTACAATCACCTTTAAAAAAATAAAAATATCCCCCTATTTATTAAATAAAAAATGGACAAAAATAAGGAAAATTGGATCAAAACAAAGGATACCAAGAAACGATCACTTTCTCATCTTTAATTCGACTTTTAAATAATGCCGTTGACTGTTGTGGGACCATCCCTCTGTCTCTTTTAATTGTTAAAATGATTCCATGGGCATAATGAATTACACTTCTTGAATGTTTCCATATAGGCAATATCTTTCAAACGCTTGTTATAAAAAGATATCAATATTTTGTTTTGTAAATCAATAGCTTCAATTAAAAACGTTCTCATCATGAATGCATATGATTATTGGTCTAATGATTGTTTCAAGGTTGTGCACAAGTTGTACGATGAATCCTCTTCTATTCGAGAACGAGAACGAGAACGATACACTGTAAACATCACCAAAGATGACATGTCCAGCTTTGTTTCGTGTTTCATCGTGGAAGAGCTTATGGAAGTATACGACATATATAGCAGGCCTATGGTGTGGATTGGAATCTACATAGCAATAGCATCTGGCTTTTGCATCCTTGCCATGGCGGCAGATTTGTTCCATGGTTTCCGGAATAGAAAATATTGGATTCCTTGCAAGTATTTCTCTCTCAATGCTGCTTCTATCACTGTSGTAGCTGTTGCCATGAAATTGCCTGTCGATCTCAGTAGTTCGATGCCTGGTGAAGTAGACCAAGCAGCCAAGCTCGGAAGCTTGGCCTTCATGTGCATCATGATTGCGAACTTAATGCTTTCTCTGGCGTCTATGGACAACAAGACACTTCTTGCAAATACCATAGGTTTGGTCATTCTCATTATCACTATGATTGTGAATACTTTGATCCAAATCATTACCGGTGTTATAGCAAATGGGTATTTCATGATGTGGGCATGCATCTATATGGTTTTGATGCTTTCGTTACTGATCATATTGATTTCTTCGGCCATAACAATTCCGACCTCTAAGAAAATTTTAGAGTTCAAGTATCAAGCCACAAGCAAAACAACTTCAAATGATCAACTTATAGGGATGTCTATGGTGGAGAAACTAAGACAATATGTGAGAAGATATTGGGTTATGGCAGAAAGTGGGAACCCTCAGTTTGTGATGTCGAGTAATTCGTTATCCAATGCTTCTGGCATAATATGCATAATCAGCCTAATAACGTACATATTTCGTGTGTTGGATATTTTTGGTATTCCTTCTAGCGAGTACAATTCGAAGTACCTTTACCAAACAAAGTACCAATCGGAGTACCAAACTGGGTTCCGATCAGAGTACAAGTGGTCAATGGTTGCCATTTTCTTCACTCAGTTCATTGGAGTTGTAGTGGGTAGCATAGCTCCAATATTTAGATATTTTACGGTCTTTAGGTTCAAATTGTTCACTTGGGACCATTTCCTAGTCTTTAAAGGAGAGAAGTATTGGACCAAGATGCTGTACGAGTGGAAAGAAAACCGTTTACCTTTTCTATCGAATAGCCGTAGATCAAGAGCCTTTGTCCATAGCTTGAAAAACCACATTCTAAGCCTTTGTATCATATTTCAGAAAGTAGTTATAGTATCATGCAAGATGATAGGGCTCGTCCAGATAGTCCTTATAATCTTTGTTATATGTTGGAGGTCGTTGAAGGCATTGTTTTTCATTACACCCATCGCCTCGGGTAGTGATGATATAAAAGACCTTAGCAATTATGTTTTGCAGATCGAAGATGAGATGGAGTTGGCAGAGATGACAGTGAAGGGCATTTCGAATTCCATGAATCGCTTGATTCAGAAAGTTAACAAGGAACAACACAATGATCTTTTAGAGCTTCTTGGTAAATCAACTGGTTTCAAGGGAGTAGAGGAGTTTGACATCGATCAGGTTCAACCTCTCCTTTCTGTTGAACCTGTTAATAGTTGGAGCTTACCGATAGTAACCTTAACGTGCATTGCTGTTTCTCTGCCGAACATTCGTAAGGGAAAAGTTGAGAGCTTGTTGAAAGGTGTTGGTGACGGTCTCTCGTACACCCATCTTGTGGAAGAAAGCCTGAATGGTGGAAGTGAATATGTGAATGTTCGAAGGACAACAAGTAATTTATGGCATGAGGTTGAAGACAACTACAAGTGGTTGGGGAACACTCTACAGAAAAATGCATATAGAGGAAGAACATCAATGGAGATTCTTCAATGGTTTGCTGATAAAGCTGGAGAAGTTGTAATAGAAATGAAGGGAAATACCAACGAGGAACTAAAGGAGAGTTTTCCGAGTAATTTGATTGCTGCTAATTCGATGTATCGTATTGCACAAACAATCTTGCTTACCCACCAAAGCAACATCGAATCGATCAGCGAAGAGCAGGTATTTGAGTCATTATCTTGCGTGATTTCTGATATATTCTCTGCGTGCTTCACTAACATACCACGAGTCGTAGCAACAAAATGCCATGAAAGTGTGATAGAGAAACGAGTGGCAAGTGTTGAGGCCGCGACCAAACTTCTTGGTAGGAGCACGGAGATCGTAACAAATCTTGAAGGGTGTGAACTACCAGACATGGGTCGAGATAAACTTGCATTCATCGATGAGTGGCGTACTCATTTGAAGCCATCGATCCCCTAGAATTCATCACCATTCATCACAAAGGTTAGATCTATGTGAGGATTAATTCCTTCTTTTTGTGAAAACCGTCAGAACACCTCCGGATTCGTTGATCTCTTTTGATCAGACAGAGGTCATCGTGCACGTTTTTGTAAATGAAAGAGACTTTTTTCTTTTGATGTTTTGGATCTGGGAATGATTTGATTGATTTTTGTGAAGGTATGTTAAGTTCCGTTATTGTTTTTTTTTGAAGGTTTTGATATTTAAGGTATTTGAAGTTTGATGAATGAATGCATATGCAGGTACGTGAAGTTACAATGTTTTTAATATAAATATAGAATGCTAGTGATTTGAATTTCAAATTAGACGGGTGTTTTTGTTGTTGAATACTCTCAAATAACAAATATGATGAAATTATGTGATAACTCATGAGATTAAATAGATTGGCAAATATTATCAAAGTGTTGAGCAAAATTCTCTATTTTTAGCTCAAAAATCCAGTGGAAAATCGTTGTAGACATCTAGATCCGTCTTATGCAAGTGTAAGAAGTGAATCTCTCCCTTGAATAGTGCAGATTCAGACAACCAAATCTGAAATCCGTCAAACATGGATGTCCATAACTAGACCCATTGGGGACATCCAGAACCCGGTCTGGATAGATTTCTGAAAACTTGCCCAAAAAAAATTAGTACGACACTAAATCTCGAATAACTATCTTTTTAAAACATTTTCTCAAAAATAGTTGAGCTTAATTTCTTTAAGGCCAAAACATTTTCTCAAAAATGTTTAAAACGAATCTTACATTCTAATATCAAATTTGACTTTATACAAAATAGTTTGCACGCTCTTCAAAACGGCTAAATTCTTGCTCGTTTTTTAAATTCTTGTTGATACAAAATATGAATCGTGAAGATTTGAGCCTTAACTTGAATTTGATTCTTCATTGAAATTATTCATGGCACACATCTTGAAGTATATTAAAATTTTGGAACGATATACCTCTCAAGTCGATTTGTAATTTCTTTTAGTATGAGTCTGTCGTATTGTTTTCTATTTTCTCAACCGAACCTTACACTATCTGAGATCCATGGTCATCCCAAGATTGGACGAGCCTTTTCTTTTGGGTGGCTCCTCGGAGTGCCCTTATAGGACTATATAGATGCCTATCTATTGTTCTCGTTTGAACTCGTCTCTCTCTCTCTCTCTCTCTCTCTCTATATATATATATATATATGTGTGTGTGTGTGTGTGTGTGTACTTTGGTGAGAGGTTCAAATAAGAATGTTAAATATCGTAAACAACTAAGAGGCGAAGAGATCGGGAAAAAAAATACTTGAATATGCATATGTGAACCAACACCACAGTTTATTACTAAGAGTTCACATATGCATCTTCAAATGAAATTTTTCAATGATTCATATATGAATCTTCCTTTGAACTTTTTTTCTCACGATATTTACCTTCTTATTTGAATTTACCCCTATGGTTTGGGCTCGTTACTCCATTGAGCTAATTTTTCGGAGTTAGTTCTGTTAGGTTGCGTTTGGTACACTGGACAGGGACATGACAGGAACAGAGTGGAACAAAGTGGAACAGGCCTGTTCCATCCTTATCCCATGGAACAGGGTGGAACAAGGTTGAACAGACTTACATTTTACCAATATAATATCAAAATAAAACTTAATCCTCTTCTAAAACATCAAATAGGTCTATCTCTTGCATTTTATTCATTCTTTAAATTTGGAGTTGGACCATGTGGGTTAGACGAAGGCCTGGACTTCATGGTTCCTAAAGTAAAAGGCAAAGCGTTAGGCTGGCTTCATAGAGCTGCGAGAACCTCTCCCTCCAAACAGTGGAAGGATAACAGACCGGTGCTTCTGTGGCCCATATAACCAGCTGGGCTCCTTCTGATAGACTCCCATCTTTTTTTTTCATAATGTGATAGATGTTCAATTTTTCCTATTTGGTTTCCATTGTTACCGGACCGGTAAGTTTTATAATCAACGATGACAAAGTTTATGCAAAAGAGATTGCAACCGGCAACCTCGGGCTGGCCTGACCCGTCCAAAAGCATAATGTGTGAAGCAAATCAAATGTATAACAACCTGTTCTTGAGAGCCAAACACAACTACTACAACAAAATCTAGTTTATAGGACGATATTATAGTATAAAAAATAAAACGTCATACCTAAAAGTGTTAGTAATAAGTTTATAGAACGTTTTTTGATCTCTTAGTAAGTTTTTTGAGACATTTTTAAATAAAGCATTACATTATCTATTATATTTGAAGAAAAGTGTCATATAAAATGTGTTTATAGAACATACTCTAAAATATTGTGCTGTAAAATAGTTAATATGACATTTTCTTTAAGATGTCCTAAAAATCTTGTTAAGACGTCCAAAAATTGTCCTAACTTGTTACAACATTACTAGATAAAACACTTTATTGTTTTGTTCTATAAACTTAAATCCTATAAAACAGTCTATTAACACATTTATACATTGTTTGGCGTCTTATAAACTCAATTTGTTGTAGTGCAGGATAAGCCTAATCCTCAAAGGACTTGTAACTCCCATATCACAATTTTCATACCTGCTAGCAAATACAATGGAGGTGTTTGTTTTTGTAAGAAGGGGAATTTTTTAGAATCAGGATCATTGTGTTGTTATGATTCTTTATGGTGGATGGTGTGTTGTTTTGGCCGTGTGATAAGAAAAAGGATGTTCTTAGATGTCTGATAACAAAATATTTGTCGCCAACTGTCAGTTCAGAGAGATTAAAGATGTGATTATATGATGTTACATTCCGTGTAGATTTCTATGGTAAAAGACACATTCTTTGCATGTAAGTGAAAATGTATCTGTTGGAGTCTTAGGTCAGCTAGATGTGGACCATTTATGTTGGAATCTCCCCTCTCTTCAAGTGCTGTTTTGGAGAGTGATATGGAGCTCCACATATTCTCACAATATCTTCATGATCTATAATAAGAGGGTGTGTTTTTCAACTCCATATTGCTGATTGTGTGCTATGCAAAAGGATGCATGGAAGCCAGATTGGTGAACTTGTAGTCTACCTTTCATGAGACAACAACACAGCTGCTAAGCAGGTGAGCTTTTGGCAGGTTTTTCCTTAGAGAATTGCAATCAATAGCCCATTTCAGCAAAAAGTTGTAGAAGGTTCTTTATGGTCTACCAGCTTGATATTTTATTGTTCAAGATGCAAGTTTACCGAAATAGTTATCTATCATGATCAACTTTCTAGCGTTTCATTTACCACTAAAAATTGCTCATAATTTTAGGTTTATCAAATTGTAGAAGAGTTACTGTCGTCGCCACCCACCCTACCCACACCACTAACCACCATGCCACTACTGTTGTCATCACACCACCCCCCCCCCCGTTACTCACTGCACATCCCTACTACAACCATGCTACTACCGTTACTGTCACGTTCCTAACCTAACCCTAACCACCACATCATTATTGTCGTCGTTACAACTGCCACTCACCACCGCCCTACCCCAACCCACCACTAATTACCATGCCACTACTGTTGCTGTCATACCCACTGACTCTCAGCTACCCGACCACTATCCCACCACCGTCGTCATAACAGCTACCACCCCTTCACCCATCCCACCCTCTAACTTAAACCCCAACCCCCACCCTTACCACTATTGTCGCCGTCACAACCTCCACTCAACCGCACCCCACCATACCCCAACCCACCACTAAACACCATGTCATGATTGTTCTCGTCATATCCACCCACTCCCAAGCCCCCGTCCACCCGACCACTATCCCACCACCATCATCGTCAAAGCTACCACCCGCCACCTACCCCCACCCCACGTCCCTTACTCCACCCCACCACTAACCACCATCCTACCACTGTAGTCGTCACAGCTACCACCCCACCTTGACTGCCCCCATGAACCCCCACCTATGGAGCAAAAGTGGGGCAGGGTTGGGATGGTGAGGCAGGGGTGGGGGTGATAACTGTGACGACGACAATAGTAACATGGTCGTTGGTAGGGTGTGGGCGAGGCGATGGGTGCGATAGTCCAAACAAAAACGATTGTTACAATTCTTTTGAGAGATTTTATTCCAATTCCTACTTACCAAAGGCGTAGTCAAATTACATCACAATTCTTTTGATTGATTCCTAATCCATCAAATTACATTTTGTGAACCCAACACATTCTTACGGTTTCTCTCTTAGGAATTATGTATTTGAATTAATGTTTTGATCATAATTCATATACTAAAAGAAGTCTTTATATTTATTTATTAGTTTTTTCCTTGAAAACTTGAAACCAACAAAATTTCAATTTGTATTTCATAAATTAGTAAAAAAAATCCAAGTTTCTATGATTTCTTAAATGTATTTAACCATTACATATTTCTCTAAATTTGAATAGATTATGTTTATTTACGATCTCTTTCAATTCAATCATAATTAAAATATTACTTTCTCATTCTTTTACGTAACAATCTTCAACTCCAATCTAATTTAGTTTCTTTTTTATATTTAATCGTGATCCAATTCAATCTAAAATATAATTTTATAAAAAATATATATTTTATTTTTTATCATATATAATTATTATTTTTTAATTTTAAATATAAAAAATAAATTAAATGGATTATTGTATATTTTAAAACGTAATTATAACTATAAAAAACTTATCATATAATTGAAATTAAATAAGATAAGTCACAAAAGTAAGTATAAAAATATATCTATGATGTGCTTTATCCACTAGGAATTGAAAACTATGAAATTTGGTATATTTTTTTAATTGAATTCACTTTTTTATTAGATAAGTTTTTGTTTTTAAAAAAAAATTAAACCAACCAATAAACAAATGTCACATGTCAATTTCATTTAGTAAAAAATGCCTCAATCCTATATTGTTAAGTGAGACGGATCAGTAGAGATTGGTAACCGATTTTTATTTTTTATTTTTTTTTCTCTAAGGCTCTTTTTGTCTCTTTTCTATTCTTTAAAGAAAACTAGAAAGGTATTCGCGTAATGCAGCGAGATACATCTTGATTTTAATATTTTATTTTATTTTTTATCTCAGTCGATGTTATAATATGGTCTTACGTGATTTTTAAAAAGTGATAATGTTTTTATTTTTGAATAAAATATAAATTTGAATATATTATAAAATTTTGACAAAAAGATATTGATATTAGTATCAAATTAACTATTTAACTATTTGAAATTCATCATTTTTTGTGTAATCTTTTAATTCAATTTTTTTAATTATAATTTAATTTTGATTCAATAACGAAATAATTTATATTTGGTTTAATAATATAAATTTCTTATAAAAATAATAATTAATTATTTTGTTAGAACTCGATAATCAAAGTTTATAGGATACCAACAATCGATAAATATCACTGTAGACGGCCTTTTAAGACTTAAACTTATAGTATCTATACTATATTATAAAGCATTTGACAAGAATTATTAAAAATCATTTTTTATGCATGAAATACTGTTTATTGATCCAGATTACTTAAAATTCAAGATTACAAGTAATTTTGCATAAGTACAACTTGTTAAAACTCCATTTTTAAATTTATCTAACTAACTGCATATAGATATAATCAAATACAAGATAAACATTCATTTTAAATAGATAAAATCTAAAATATAATTAAGATTATCAAACAGAATGTCTAGTTACTATCTTTATAAAAAGTTATGTTATTAAACCAAAAATAAATTACTTTGTTATTAATCTAAATGAAATCATAATAAAATAAAACATCATATTATCTTATTTTATATGACACTATTTGAAAAAAAAAATGTCCTATAAAAATGTGTTTATAGAACACACTTTAAAATACAATACTATCAAATAGTTAATATGACGTTCTTTTTAAGATGTCATAAAAATCTTGTTAAGACGTCCAAAAAATGTTCTATAAACTTATTACAACATTTATAAATAAAACATTTTATTGTTTGATTATGTAAACTTAAATCCTATAAAACAGTCTATTAACACATTTATACATTATTTGTCGTCTTATAAACTCAAATTTGTTACAGTATACGACGAGTCTAATCCTCAAAGGAATTTTATAAACTCAACTTTATTACACCTACATGCAATTGCATGGTTTAATTTTAAATGGACTTCTTATTACGTAATCAGAAATTAAAAGTTATATTGTAATTCTCATGCTTTCTAGCTTTAAAGAAAATTTTGAAAAGTATGTTATGGGCCGTTTATCTAATTGCTTACCCGGTAAGTGCTCAATATTAGAAGTTAACTGTATAATTTATTTTATTGGGTAAGATTGTAGTACATCAAAACGTATCATATACAACAATTTACCTGGTAAGCGCTTACCCGGGTAAGAGTCGTCACACTCACTTACCGGGTAAAACTCTCCATCCTTATCATCACGCAGATTTTTTTGGCTCTTGTCATGCTTATCCGATGAGGAAAATTACATGATAAATACTTACCGGATAAGCATTTAGTAAACGGACCCTTAGAAACGTATATTTATATAAAATCTTTATTCTCTCTAAACACTTTTATCAAAGATCGGTGGGACCCACAGCACAGGTACTGGAGGGGCAGAATAGTAATTATATTGGCCATCCCTTTTAACTCCACCCACAGATGATAGAAAAAGGGAAGAAGAAGAACCGCTCCATCTGCATATAATATACTCTCCAGTCTCCATCACCTTCTTGAGTGAAACCTGATTTTTGGTGTCGTTTTCATGAATCTAAAAACCATTCTTCATTCGATTTAGAGTTCTCAAAAGCAATCATACACAACCTAACCCCTTCCATCTCAACTTCACTTGCAAACAAATTGGTTTACGGTGGAAGAAATCAGGTCGTATTTGGGAGAAATCAGAGAAAATCGAGCCCAAAAGCTTTAATTCTAGTCCCACATCGGAATGAGTAGATGGAACCGATTTGTTTATAAACACCAAACGCAGTTGGATTATCGCCGGGCTTGGTAACGGGAGCCTGTGACTCGAGTGAGGGCATTAGGATGGTTGGACTGTGATTGAGCCCAGATTGGTTGGGTTCGATGGTTGCAAGATCTGGCTTGCCCGTTCCAAGTTTGGAGTTGGACCATGTGGTTTAGGCGAAGGCCTGGGCTTCATGGTTCCTAAAGCAGAGGGCAATGCGTTAGGCTGGTTTTACAGAGCTGCGAAAACCTCTCCCTCCAAACAGTGGAAGGATAACAGGCTGGTGCTTCTTTGGCCCATATAACCAGCTGGGCTCCTTCTGATGGACTCCCATCTTTTTAATCAATCATATGTATTATGTAGGTACAGGTAACCGTATGTTTTGGGTAGTCATATGAATCCACACATACTCAAACTTTGTGATATGTTAAGAAACCAAGTCTCTTAACAATATTAAGATGATGTGCAGTAAAGGTAGGAAAGTAATTGCAGAATGAATGGTATAAGATATTTTAGATCAAAATGAGTTGAATGTTCTTTTAAGATATTTGTG